TAGATTAACATGTCGTTGTTCGACTGTTATCCAAAACTCACGTGCTGAGCCAGGGTGAGCGCGTCACGCTCAATGAGTGTCCTTTGTTGTCATTTTTTAAGGTTCTGACTCGACAAAAATTAAATCTAAACTCTGCGATGGCGTATTTCTTAAATATTATCACAAGAAATCTTAAATTTATCTCAATGAATATTTCTAGGTCACCCAGATTACCATTGGTTATGTAAACAAGCTTGTTCGATTCAAATACGCCTACTTTGCATAATAATTCCCCGCCGGAAAAAAATAGTCCTTTTCTTTCAGTAGCCGCTAAATCACAATTTAACAACTTTGCCTTTCAAAAAAACTACACACTGCAAAAGAGAAATAAACTTTTACGACTAAGACACCCATTTATACATTAAAATAAGCCGAAATACCGCCGAAGGCAGAACACACGGTTCCATCAAAAGTGGTCGACTGTCAACACAAAATTACAAGAAATTGTCGCGATGACACTTTTAACGCCTTGTAAGTGGTTAATAGAGCGATAAATCATATTCACAGCAAATCGCTTTTCATTTTTAAAATCACAATTTCAGAAGCAATGGGCTTAAGCAGATTATTTTACGAGAATGCATATTTTAAAACTGTGGAAGCATGCGCGTCTTTCCCACTGATATTCAGAACCCATCGCTGTTGGAATTTTATTCATGTGTAAAGACTTCCTGGTGATCTTGAATCTTACATGCAGAGATCACTGTCATCGTACAGATAAAATATCTGTAATGACTGAATATTTTGCCCACCAACAGATTTTTATCAAGTGGTTAACAGTAGGCATCCTTCTTTCTCTTAAGAGCTCTGAAAACTAATCGTGTTCCCTAAGCTCTGAAAAGGTCTCGGAAATTTGTTTGCCCCACATCTGACTTCAAAACTCGCAGATTATCTGTTTCAGCTATTTCCGTATAATTATTCATCATTCCAAAACGGCTGGGAATTAAAAAAAAAAGGGCATCAGTCTTTTTGCAAATACACATAGTATTTCTACCTCTTCTAATATAAACAAAACGAAGGAAAAACGAAAAACAATTAGCCTATTTTAGTGGTCCGCAGTAGCACTTTATTGAAAAGACGAGATTTCACCGTCGTATGATTGTTAGATATGAGTGAAAATAAAATAATTTGTAGAAAATTAACATATGAAATAGACATACCACATCAACAACGGGCTGAAAGCAATTAGCCCATGTCAAATTAAATACTGTGAGCGATCGATGTTAAACAGCGACGGTTTAAAGACTTTAAATAAGCTTTCTTTCTGGCGATACGTTGCTGCCTAACGTTTTTCACCAGATTTCATTTCGCTTGATACGACGACAGAAAGAAATGAAAAAATGCAGTGTCAATATCCTCAATAGTTATATATGACGTCCACCCTGCAATCATCAAGGAAAACAATTATCATAGACAATAAGCCTCATGAAAAGTTTGTTGAGAGCGAAGCCCTAATGACTCATTTAAACAATAATAAACATTGCTCATAAATCAGTTTGCACAGTCAAAGAGGTTTCCACGCCAAAAGAACATTGTTGAGTTGAAATGTGTCGAAACACTTCCAAACGTTGCATTGCGGACATTTTTGCGGTAGAAATAACTCACTCGAACTTAGAAGAAGTGGCACTTCATATCTCCTTCTTAATCCATAAACGCGCAGTCACCGAATTCCTTGTTTCTTTTCCGTCTTAGGAAGTGGAAATATTCATGCTCTTTTGACCTCTTGTCTGAGAGAGATGGCTAATGCCCCATTCAACATAACATGTTCAGAAGGCGGGGTGGGGTGGAGAGGGGGGGACACGGGAATAGGAGAAATGGAAAGGAAAAAGGGAGATGAGTGTTCTAAAAGGCAGGGAAAAGGGAGAAATAGGAGAAAACTACGCAACAATGCTTACAATCGAAAAACGGCTAAAGGGAGGAAGCCAAGAAAAAGGGGAGCCGGAGCCGAGAGTGCAAGGTACGGGAAGCGGGAGGTTTGGACCCCGTGAAAAGGGCTCGGAATAAAAACTTGAATTCCAGTTTGTCCTTTAGGCAAGCAGCTTTAACATTTTGCTAACCCGGGGCCACTTCTTGCTTGACTTAGTTAAATGATTTACTCAGAAGATGACTTGGTTAGACCCTCGCCCATTGGGCACGTGAGCTTTAAAAGTCACTTGCCAAGCAAGAAAATCTACTTGCCCTGGACTACCAGACCAGTGCTGGATCCAGACCTCGAGATAAGGGGGGGAGGGGGAGGGCGGTCATCCAGGCCCTTAGATAAGGGGGGAGGGGGCTGTTCCCCCCCAATTTTTTTCGGCCATTGGGGCCTCAGTTTGGTCTAAAAATAAGGGGGGGGCCCCGGGCCCTTCCCCTAGATCCGCCTCTGCAGACGGGACTTTTTTCGAGCCCTGCTGTTTTCCTCTTTCCCGTTCTCTTCTGATAGTGGCCAAGGAAACAATTCACAAAAAATATAGATATTTCTTTTTCCAAAATCCTAGAAAGAACTAGCACTATATAAAAGTTGTGATAGTATTCTTTTGCCCGGAAAACGTTCTTTATTCGTCAAACCTACCACTCGAATGCGCCGGCCTTTAAGAATAATCTATGAACAAGAATGACCGAACAGGCGCTACAGAAATGTTTACAAACTTCTTTGACCAACGCATAAATGAGACCCTGCAAACTCCAAAAAAAAACAAAAAAAACCGCCCATCCGCAAAATGTAACACACCCGCAACAATTTTCTGCCACACGTTTAGTTCATTCATCAATAACCAACACTTTTCAGTGGCAACTTGCTTTCGTGGAGTCTTGCTATGTACGGTTTTGGAAAGAATGTCACTGTTTTAATAATAATAATAATCTTTATTGAGGAAACTTTTTCATAAAAGATATGGTTTTCAAAAAGGACCTCAAAACTAGATATATATTATAAAAACAAAAAAAAAAAGCTATAAAATTGCAAAGGGATTAAAAAGATACAAAAAATGCATAAAAAATTAAAAATAAGTATAATTAAACGTAAGTAGCTATATTAAAAACTTAAAAACATTACGTTTAAAACTATTAACATTCCTTGAGTCTTTGATCGTCTGACTGAGGGAGTTAAAATCGGAAACGGCATGATATTGTGTTCTTTGCTTCCCCCAATTTCTTTGGACACGTGGTAATCTAAAATTGCCTTTGTTACGTGTATTATGCCTATAGAGTACGTCTTGTCTAATCAAGTCCATATCGTGATTAATTAGGCCATTGATGCATTTGTATACGTGTACACACCTTCTTTGAAATCGCCTTTTCTCTAGAGGCAGCCACTTGAGAACGGCTAATGCCTCAGTGGAGGATGAGTACAATGGTCTATTTAAAATAACTTTAGCGGCCTTATTTTGCAAAACTTGCAAACTAGACATAA